GCTTTAGGGTTTACAGTAGAAGCCAGAAAGTTGGAATATCATTATCGTAAGCCCTTTAAGGTAAATTATAGGGGATCCTACCATTAATCCATAGTCCAACTTTCTGGAGTTCCCTTTAGGGTTTAGTCGCTTTAGGGTCTAGGGTTTACAGGAGGGGAGGGGCCTTAAGATGGCTTTATAGATCTTTGCATTGCTTATGTCAAGAAAGAACACTTCAACTGACTTCAACCACATTCGGGTTCTGTGTTTTGTGTCTTCAAGGGAGACAAGTTTTGGAGCATTTAAGCACATTTAAGCCATGTTTTGGAGTATCTGGTTTTGGGGTTTGGGACTGTTCACGAGACCCAGGTCTTTGTTGGTAGAGAACCCAAAATGACCCTCATCTCTAAACCCAACCGCTACACCCCAAGCCCTCAACGACCAAACACACCTCCGTCTCTTTACTCCCGGTTCAACCAAGCTTGGATGCAGGGCTGAAGGTTTAGGATTTATAGGGTTTAGGGAGGGTTCACGGTTTAGGTTTTGTAGGGCTTGACTTGCTTGACGACAGAATCTTCGCAGAAGCCCCGAACCAAAAGCTCTGGCTCATATCATGCCGGGCCCACACCAGCGCTTTACTGCCCGTCGTTGCTGGAGCATTCATGCTCTGCTGCACGGATCTAGAAAGATCTGCGTAGTAACAATATTCTCCGAAAGCTTAGAGCCGTAATCACATAAACCTCTGGATCGAGAAACACAGGCGGATCTGCTACGCATTCTCGCCTAATCCTGCACATGGTCAGGGTGACCCCAGGTCACTATGGACCCATCACTACGAGTTGCTGCGAAAGCGCCGAAGGTGGCTTGGATGTGCTGCACGTTCTTCAACTGATCCTGCACAGAACCACTGTCACCGCCAAAGTCTCCGAGCCCCCAGGTCGATATCGATCCATCACCCAGAAGTGCAGCAAAAGCGAAACCCGTGGCTTGGATCTGTTGCACGTTCTTTAGCTCATGCTGCACAGCGCGACTGTCACCACCACGGTCAGGATCACCCCAGGTCACGATAGATCCATCACCAGCAATGGCAGCAAAGGAGCAACCAGTAGCCTGGATCCCCTGCACATCCTTCAGCTGATGCTGCACTGCACTGCTGTCACCACCATGAACAGCATCTCCCCAGGTAACGACACGTCCATCACCAAGAATGGCAGCGAAAGCGTCGTTAGTGGCTTGGATCTGCCGCACAGTCTTGAGCTGATCCCGCACCGCAGTGCTGTCACCCCCATACTGCGCATTACCCCAAGTCACGACGCATCCGTCAGCAAGAATGGCAGCAAAAGCGCAGTCGGAGGCCTGGATATGGTGCACGTTCTGCAGCCGATCATGCACACCTCTGCTATCACCGCCATGGGCAGCCTCTCCCCAGGTCACGACGGATCCGTCGCCCAGAATGGCAGCAAAAACATTCTTAGAGGCTTGGATCTGCTGGACATTCTTCAGCCGATCTTGCACAGTACTGCTGTCGCCACCGCAGCCAGCAACACCCCAGGTCACAACAGATCCGTCGCGCAGAAGGGCAGCAAAGGCACGTTTGGTGGCCTGGATCTGTTGCACACTCTTCAGCTGAAGCTGGACGGCACTACTGTCGCCACCACTAGACGCACTACCCCAGGTCACCACAGACTCATCGCCGAGAATGGCTGCAAAAGCACCTGCAGTGGCCTGGACCTGCTGCACATTGCTCAACTGATGCTGCACAGCCCGACTGTCACCACCATGGGAATGCACACCCCAGGTCACGACGGATCCATCCCCGAGAATGGCAGCAAAAGCGCCGTAAGACGCCTGGATATGCTGCACGTTCTTGAGCTGAACTTGCACGGAACTACTGTCACCGCCGGAGCGAGTGCTGCCCCAGGTCACCACAGATCCATCGCCGAGAATGGCGGCAAATGCATCGGGAGAGGCTTGAGTTTGAACCTGGCATATATGCAGGGTCAGTGTGTCACCGTTCAGAATCCCAGCTGTCTTGACGGCTGCACGTGCATCCAGGACCCTTCCACATGAGTCCAGCAGCCGCCCTCTTCGGACTCCGAGGGCGACCTCTGCTCTACGGTTCAGTGCTTCTACGTCTTCATGCGGTGAGGCTTGCACAGTGACGCTGTTGCCACTGAGCAGCCCAACTTCCACTGCAATCGACATGCGTCAGACCAACAACTGCGCATCGGTACTTTGCGGTCAAAGGTATGTACTGGCTGGGTGCACGGACGCCTGCGGTTAGGAACTCAGGGTATATTGTCAGAAGACTTAATTAAGCGTAGTCATGCCTTGGCAGATACAGGTGTATACAAACATCGAACAGCCGAACTAAACGGTCTTGTGAGGGTCACGAACTTGCGATTTTGCAACACTGTTGCTAGTACTACTCCCAAGAAAACTGCACTTCGGAGAAAGATGATGGCACGGATGACGATTGCAATCCTGCAAACTGCAGGATTCCCAATTCGCCCTGTATCTAAAAAGACACCCTACAGGATTTACCTGGACGACCACTCTCATATAAGTTCTGGCGCAATCCGTCATTGCCTGAAAAACGTGCTACGGTTCTTCGAAAAATAAATATTACTTGGTATAAGTCCTCGACCCCTATACCCTACACAGTATGATGCCTCTAACCCTAAACCGTAACTTCATTCCGTGGGGTTAATTAGGGCTAAAGGTTGGCACTGGAGACATGCCTGCCTAAACCAACCTAGGTTACCCAGTAACCTAAGAATCAAAAGGCCTCTCTTTTTGGTATTGGGGTAACTTTATAAGGAACCTAGGACTACAAAAAGGGAATAAGGGTACTACCGGGCATCCTAGATGACTGTGTACGTGACCCGATTATTCTATTTGGGAGTTTCGGAAAATTAGGGGTACCTAATTTGGGGGTCCTTACAATAAGGATCCTACGATTGAGGGTACTATAGTAGGGTCGCCTATTTTCGGAAACTCTGGTTTCGATCTGTCGTGCACATACGCCTTGCCGAAGTTGCGGCGATCCCATCTTCCCATGGCACCTAATTCCACTTCCAGGTCGGGGCTTGCAAATTGGATAATGGGCTGGGACTCGGGCTCAAGAGCTAGGGGTCACTGGTACTTAAGCCACAATTACGGTGACTACACACCTTGGCATCAAAGCTTCGTTGTTCGCTTTCGTACTAGGTTTCAACAGCTTGAAGCCGAATCGCACATCCTCATCCCGAACCCTGCATAGGCATCCCTACAATCTTGGACCTAGCTAGATTCCATGACCAGTCGCTAACCTACTGCTGCGCTGTTTGTCAACCTCATGTTCCCGCCATCACGTCATGGCCCTCTTGAGCCAAAACAGCAGCATTGCCTTGGGGTTAACCGCGCAAAATAGAAGCCTAAACAGCTACCAACAATATGTGGGTGGTTGTCAAAATGATGGCCCCTTTTTGGGTACTCTAAATAATAGATGCCGTATTAAAATAGGGACCCAAAAAGGGACCCTAATTTTGACAACCACCCATGTAGTTCTTCTTAGGCTTCCTTATTAGAGCTACTCTACATTTTCCCCCCCAGACCGTATTCTTCCAAAAGAAAATCGAGTATTCTAACTGTTGAGGCCCCAAAGTACTGTAATTCCCTTATTGGGTTCTATATATGAACCCCAAAAAAGGAACTACTTTGGGGCCTATGGGTATCTGTTGAGGCCCCTATGCTGCCCAATAGCCAGGTCAGTGATGGGAGCTAGGATTAGGGGGACCCTTGGGGATATAGACCCTCTCAATAAGGCCCCTTTTAAGAGAGCCAGAAGTAGGGTTCAGAAGCGGTGCCCTTTAAGGGGTCTCCCTAATAATACTACCTAAGTGAAGAGCCCGGCTTGTGGCTTCGAACTTGGCCGGCTCTGCGTCAATAGACCCAGAGACTCCAACATCCCTTAATTAAGGAATATTCCTTAAATCATGTTAGGGATCCCACTATACTTTAAGGTATACTCCTTAATTAAGGGATATTGGAGGCTCTCTGGGGATTTCCCCCTTTTCGCATGCTTGTTGTAGGGGTTCTGCTTTCTGGCAACTCACAGGAGTTTAGTACAGGTGGCTGAATAATTCAAGCAGGTTTTGGTTTGTACATGTCTGTATAACTACAATAATAAGGAATACTCATGATCAGGGATGCTGCAGGCCAATATAGGGCATGTTTCTGACGTGGACGTCTAGGCCGTGCTGTTTCCCAGGCTGGGTGGGCACCTCAAGGTATCGCACATGGCTGCATATCACAGTAGAGCTGCACAGGAGCGCGTACGCATGTGCATAGACAAGTAAATCAACAAAATTCTAGCTCTCAGTAAACCATGCAAACTTACATGTATATGTATTTACGGTTACACACATGTAGCTGTGTTTGTGCCCACATACATACATACATACTTACTTACTTACTTACGTACATACATATGTACAGACATACATACTTACATTACTTATTTATTTACTTGCATACTTACATACTCGCACACATACATACTTACCTACCTACCTATCTACCTCCTAGCATGCATGCACACACATACATACGTACGTACATACATATACACAAACACACTTACATACATGCATACATGTATGTTGCGTTTGCATGTAATAGCCGGTTCAAGAACCTGCTACGAGCTAGCCGTTGCGGCCAACCTTTTAACATATTAAGCAACAGAGACGAACACCTGGCACTCGGGAGCTGCCAAATTAAATCAAAAAATAGCCAGGGCTTGCACTGCATACAACACAACGGTAGTCTGCAATACGACTTCGTGGCTCACACCTGGCGTATCCACACAAGATGAACATGAAGGAGTAGACTTCGAATGCAAGCGACTCAGAAAGGCATGCGATTGGAAAAACCCTAAACCCTAACCCTAAAGCCCCAAGCCCTAATTCCGTGCTCCGCTTTGCATGGAGCTCAGAGGACTTTTTAACGAGATCGAGATCGAAACTCACTGAGAGTCTAGGCTAAGACAGCTTCTTTGCCAACTTGGACATTCCAGCAAGCTTTGTGCCGTCCATGTGGCGATGGCGTTGAATCACACAGGTGGCAGAAGAGTTTGGAAAATGCGTCAGGTCTGCAAGCACCTTTTCAACGAGCTGAAGCCCATGGCCATCAACTTCAAGCATCTCGGCCTCTCCCTGGACCTGAATGACCTGGGTTGGCCTTTAAACACCCGGAAAATATTTATATATAGGGTCCCTTATAAACCCAAATAAGGAAAATAAAAAATGTCCCAAAATGCAACCTAGTGACCAAATCTTCGATAAAACAACCTTTCAGCTTGGGCTTGCGCTGTGAGAACAAGTATTTCAAGACACGAACAGCTCGCTGTGCCGGTCGGTTGCCACTGAAGTAGGGATCCACGGTGCTAAGGTCGGTATGCGGCGGAAAGTACGTCCCTGTCGGCGGTACCAACTCAAGGGTTCCAAAATGGCTGCCAGTGGTAGTGTAATCATAATGCAGCTTCAAAGCTACTAGGATGTCTTCCTGGGTGTCGATGCCAGATCTGGATAGGGCACTTCGCAAGAGATGCATGTCTGCCAACTCCACGGGGGAGCTCGTCATGATATGATATCGAAAGTCTGCGCCTCGTATGCTGGTGTTCTTTCTGACGGTTTCTTGCAGCTCAAGTCTGAAATCATGCCAGATGCTCTCAGCACAAATGGTGATTTTGTCAAGCAGCCATCTGGGCGGCCGCTTGTGTCGGGGAGCTAAACTGTCAGCAAAGGTGGCAAATGTTCGAGGTGTTGACATGGCCAGCTTAATCCTGGAGAGAATGTCACGCGTAGGCTCCTTCTCCTCTCGAGGATGCCACCTACAGCCGTAGCAGTGGTTGCTGCAGTACTGCTTGAAGCAAACTGATTCTGTGCTCCGGCACACTCGACATGAGAACTCATGCTGGTCACAGCCATAGCAATGTTTGTTGCAGAAGAGCTTGCTGCAAACCGATTCTCTTGTCCGGCAGACTTGGCAGACATCACCATGCTGGACACAGCCGAAGCAGTGCTCTCTGCAATAGCCTCTCCCACAGACACCAATGCTGGTCCCGCATCGCTGACACTGTTCCGCTCTCTCATCAACATCAACAGCCAAATATGGTTTGCACAGCGAGTCTACCGTCACCACGTTCCCACACATAGCACAGCAAATATGAACAAGCATGCCGTGAAAAGCCGAGAAAATGTGTGAACAAACGTCATTCAAGCATGCACGAACCAGCTGGACGGCTCTTCCCCAATGCTTTTCTCCCTCGCAGAAGGTGTCCCAATCATCAAGGGTCCTCTGGTTCGGGGGGAGCGGGGTAAGGACCAAGGACCTACTGTATCTACCACCACCAAGCGCCTTAGTCCGAAATTCTAATCGTCAACCGGAGCTACGATTCTGAGACTGAAATAACTCTGCGAGACTTGCATCCAAGAGGCTTGATTGCTGTCTTAGACCCAAATGTCGCCTAGTCCTAACCATTTGGGAGTCTGGGAGTTTCCCAAAATAGGGGACCGTAATACAGTATCCTAAATAATGGGATCCTTATTATAAGGACCCCAAAATAAGGTACCCCTAATTTTCGGAAACTCCCATTTTAGCACCCTTTTCTGTACGCGTAGTCGGGTTCTAGGGTCTCCAGATGGGAAAATTGGGGGTACCTTATGTTGGGGTCCTTATAGTAAGGATCCTACTATTTCGGGTACTAGAATAGGGTCCCCTATTTTCGGAAACTCCCAGATCTGAAAACCAAGAGGCTGGAACAGCGTCGCGATTGCACCAATTGGCAGGAGCACCAAGCAAGCAAGACACTTCCTCAGAGCAGATGCGGCAGCAACTCAATTTCAGGGTTTCTGGTTTAGGGTTTGAATCTAGAGTTTAGGGTTTCCGGCTTATTGTTTAAATCTAGGAGTCTAGGGTTTCTGGTGTAGGTTTAGGATTTAAGTTTAAGGTTTGGGGCTCGAACAAAATGACGTTCAGAACTCACTAGTACACCTCATTGATGCGTCCAGGTCTTTTCTGTCATGATTTTCATGGGCTAGGTAGCTTCTTCTACTACTCCTACTACTCCTACTACTCCTACTACTCCTACAACTCCTACAACTCCTGCAACTCTTACTACTCCTACTACTCTTCTGTCCAAGCGGCAGCAGTGATCCACCACGGCTCCTGGCGTAGACCCGGGGATCAAATAGTCCAGCATAGGTCCTCATACAATCACTAGGTTACCCAGTAACCTAAGTAAGGGTTCCTTAAAGGGATCTATAAGGGGTCCTTTAAAAGGGTACTATAAGGGATCTATAAGGGTACCATAATATACTAGGATACCCAGTAACCTAAGAATAAAAAGGCGTCTCTTTTTGGTATTGGGTATTATAGGGAGCCTAGGACTACAAAAAGGGAATAAGGGTACTACTGGGCATCCTAGATCATGAAACCCGCAGTGTCCATGGACCCACACAGTGTATATACCTTGACCTTACAGTAAGTACATGCGACCCCATCAACAAGGCCTAGGTATATTCGATAAACCCTGCAGAACCTTTGCAGAAGCTGTACAGCAAGCCCGTGAAAGGAACACCTTCCGCTGCTGTGCTATATATGCATATATATATATATATACACACATATGTACACACATATATCTATATACATACAGACTATATCACCGCATAGACCCTGAACCCTTGATTGAACCATGTTAGTACACTTGTTACACAGACAGGAAGCCCTGCTACGCACCCACACGGACTCTGAAGGAAAAAGGTGCGGGAGAGACCTGTGGAGTCCGACTATATACAGTAAGAGGACGACCTGAAAGGGTTTAGGGTTTAGGGTTTAGCGGTTTAGGGTTTAAGGGTCTACGGTTTAGGGTTTAGGCATCAGTAGCTTAAGTTTAGGTTTAGGGTATCAGGTTCCAGGCCGTGCACCAACGAAAGCAGCCCTCTCGACCGTGAATCCCACGTTCCAAATCCTGAACCCTACTGAATTCTGAACCCCGGCTCCAAACTTTAAGCTGTCACCCCTGAGCCCGACGGTTAGGGTTTAGGGTTTAGGGTTTAGGGATGAAAAAGCCTCCGACAGTTTTGCTGCTACCAAGTTTCATTCATGAGTTTTCAGGACTCACTGTCACTCGCTACATCTCTAAAACGCCGTGGCAGTCAATGTTAATGTGTGTGTGCATATCCAGCATACATACATGTCTAGATCCATCTGTATGTATATCCACATACATACCTACGGACATACATACATACATACCTGTGTATACATATATACATATATGTCTATAATTTCAACGGTATAGATGCAGGTGCACATCTTGTGGATATGCTACATATACCTATGCAAACGTCGAGCGCCCACTAAGACTCCACACACACACACACACACAAAGACCCAGAAAGAAGTGCTAAAGGACTGGACAGCAAAACCTCATGACTCATTTACAGTGTCCAGCAGGCAACCTGGTTTGGCCTTGCATGCCGACCCCGGCCTCCATCATAAAAGGTGAGTGGTCCAGGGTTTAGGGTTTTTTAAAACAGAGAAGAACGACCACCAATGCGGCTTGGACACGTGCACTCGTCCGACTCGCATGGAAACCAAATGTGTGGAAACAACTCCTTCGCCATTTCTGCGGCCAAGAGCTGCCAAGGCTTCGATGATGAGCTCTCAAGGAGTCTAGTCGCCGAAGACACTAACTGCGAGTGATCACACTGCGGTGCGCTTGAATGACGGCCTTCAGGAAAGAGCTCTTCCCTTACCCTCCAACCAAAATCAGGTCGAATCCGTTGGATAGGAGCACTATAGCTCCTGCCTATGTGTATCAGCACCTTGCAGTTGCTGTGCTTGCCTAGCTGCAGCTCTTGCTGCTAAGTCTCCGTCCCAAAAGCTACAGAAGTCTTTAACTAAACCTTTGCACCCTAATGGTAGTTGAACATCTAAAGTAGCGGCTGACATCCTGTCGTCGTGACTGAGCCTGAGCGAGCTGCAAAGAGGCATCTCACCACTACCAAGCTTAAGTTGTAGCCCCGGGTTTAGGCTTTTAAGGTTTCGAACTGGTAGGCGATGTACATGATGGTTGAGAGCCTGGGGACTTGTGCGTGCAGCCATCGGTTTAGGGTTTAGTGTTTTCCAAGCCCACCAACACCTTCCAAACGACCCTGTAGAAACACGTGGAAGCTATCAACTTCTGAACACCCGACATTAGCAGAACCCTAGACCCTAAACCTTGATTTTCAGGCAAGATCTTGATATCCAGTGCCCATCTCAGCTGCTTCACAGGTTCGTGAGTAGCCCCTTCGTAACAAGGGTAACCTTTTTTCTACTAGAAGGTGTTAAGAAGGGGATCCTAAATTGGAAAGGGCACAAGGGTATATACTACTAAGGAACCTAGCTTCTGATTCAGACTTCTGTGAAGACCTGTATAAGACCCACTAAGAATATGCTTCAGAGGAAACCGCGGTGACCGGCAAGAAAAATTAGGGGCTCAGGATTGACGTTGCAGGGTTTAGGCTTTCAGGGCTGAACAGATCCAGGGATGACCTTCAGGCCAGTAACATAGGGGATCTTAACGAACCCTGGGCTCCGTGTACATACCGTATATGGTATGTACTTAGGTCTTAAAGTGTCTCGTATTGGTACTTTAAGACCCAAGTATACACAATACTATATAGGTACATGGAGCCTTGGGGGAACAGAACAAGGTATCCGGCCTTTCTTTCAGTGTACTTGACTATACTAAGGAACACTTAAGAAAAGACTACCAATTGTACAGCCCACTTTATTGAGAATTTCAATGATGGACGCTGCTCTGGCATACTTCACTGTTCAAGGTAACTGCTTTATGACTGTTCAAACTTCCTCCACAAGCAGTATCACTACCGGTGCCCCCTTCCCCGAAGTGACACACAGTAACCGCACTCATCAAAATCAAGATTCGCAGGAAGTCCAATCTACACTCAACAACCCGCCCAACACGACATCACTTCAATACTGACTTGAACCCCTCATCTAAATAGTAAAACCCTGATGTAACCTCCTGGGGCCCGTTGATGCAAACCCTTAAACACTACATGACACAGCAGTCTACAGCAAGCGCATTCTCTGAACCGCAGAACGCGTCCATCGTCGTGAGCAGAATCCCTACAGGTCCATGTCGCAGATTTGTTCCGTAGGGTATAAGGATGTAATGGGTTTATTGGGTTAGGCGTTGATGGATTTGCATACTTTCGGTGTACCGGACTTTTGTACTTTTTTTGAAGGTTTACGCACATACTATACAATTCAGCAACCGGGACCCTTAGGGAATACTTTCATACAGCACCTGCTTTCAGCAGAGTGCCACGTGGAAACCCAAGCGAGACTCCAATCCGTACGGCGACCGGGGATAAGCGTTTCAGGGATACAGGGCTTTATAGATCCCAAACTCTAAACCCTAAGATATATAGACCCTAGGCCAATGGTCAAGCGTCAAACTCAGTGCTCTTCGCTGACTTGAAGCTGAGCATAGACCGCAGGATCGGCACAGCCTGCTTGTCTTTATGTGCTATAGGGTTTAGGGTTTTGGGGCTTAGGGTTTAGCGGTTTAGGGGTATTTAGGGTTTAGGAGTTTATGGTTTAACACTAACCTGTTAAGTAAGGCCCCCACATAAACAATAATCCTGTTGATGACTACACACATGAAGCTGCAAGTAGGTCACGTGTGGGTTAGGGAGCAAGATTGGAGCTGGCATACTCAGTAGCATTACTTCTAGTCCGTATTATTGCATAAATCTGGTACAAAAGATGCCAACAACCCTAATGCAGCTGTGTTGCAGAAGTTGTGGAACTATCTACAGATCGTCATCTGGGGTTCTGAGACGTTCAGGCTTGGTTTCGGGCTTCAGCGTGTAACACAGGGGCCTTAAAATTCCGATGGGGGTTTGGGGGTAGAGTATAGTATATCATACTAAGGAACGCTGAGGAATAACAGTGGTAATTATCCCGACCCCTACATTAGGATTCAGTGTCTAGGACCTAAGAATGACCGTAGGTAAGACATGCGTACAAGCGATATGCTAGACGGGCTCTTGGACGCTTCGGTCTCTTGGTGGCATTTGCAAACTGCAGCGGTTCCGAAGGTTGAGGGTCGGTAGATCTCGGGCTCCGGTGAACGAAGCCCACAACCAAACAGAAGAGCCCTGACCGCAAAGGCACGTTGAACCGCAAAATGGATATAGGACAATACACCGTAGAAACGACAAGACACAACCCTAAACCCTAACCGCCCAGGACGCTGACAAGACGACATGCACCTACGCACATGCAAAATAGGGCCCCAAAAAAGCACATAAGCAAAAATTAGGATAGTGATATCCCATATAAACCCGCTTATAAAGAAGCCCAATATGGTAGGGAAATCCCCACAAAATGCTTATGCTTATGTGCTTTTTGGGTCCCCTGCAAAAGAAGCCTACAAACACCTCAGGCGCCAGACCCTAGACCGCCTACGAACCCTAAACCCCAAGAGTCCTAGGTAGAAACCCACAAACTACGTAAGACCTTGGGGTCTGATATAATGTCATATAAAGGAAATTTCAGGAATGATAAATATTTTTCATGATCATGAATCATGACAATACTAATATCATTAAGGATGCCATATTGGGGTAATACTGTGGCTTAGCTTTTCTTCGTATTCATAACAGCCTCTTTCTTTCCCTAATATCATCGTCAGCGTGAGTGATTGTTGAGGTCCCTATAGTAGAAGCAGCGCTGGAAGCTTGGCAAAGCGGCCTCATGACGGGCGTCTCGGTAGATCCATCCGATGACCGCAAAGGAAATGATCACCTGGGCCGTGTAGGTTGGGGGTTTATTTTCCTTCAATGTAGAGGCCTCAATAATTAGAAAAAGGTTTGGGGGAGGGGGCTACAGAACAGTGTAGCTATATAAGGACCACGGTTAACGATAAACCGAGGCCTGTGTAATATATTTAGGGTTCAGGTGTTTAGGGCTCAGGATCTAAAGTTAACGGTTCCAGCTGATAGTTTTGCAGTTTTGCTTGCATCTGGTCAGATTCGATCCTCAGATGCAAGGATCGCAGTTTTAGGTGGGGACTCAGGAAATACGGGCCTACAACTGGAAACCCCAACCGCCCAAGACCCTGAACGTTGAAATCCAAAAACCGGAAAAGCCTAGGTGCAGAAGCTCATTGGGTTCAAGAGTCTAGTAGGGTTGCTCAAAAGTTTCCAAGATAATAAGCCGGCCCATATATAGTAGATTATGTCACCACTGCACACGCTGGCATTCACTCACCTCAGTAACTCTTCGGGGTGTCGAGTTCGCGCCTCTAAAACCCCAACTTGACACCTTGTCGGGTTTCAGGGCTGCCCCCCTAAATTCCCACTTCATGACTGTGGTGGGCGTGTCTGTGGGTGCGCCCTTGACCATGGAGCCAGACACATAAAACATGGGGAACGCTTTGAGGAACAACGCTTGCCTACACAGCTTTAAGAACTGCAAGGCAGCACAGGAACGAGAAGCGCTCCCAGCACAACCAGGAAAATGCTCAAAGTTCCTTTGTTAGCAGCTGTGGAGGCGTTCTTATGGGGCCTTGGGGCTTCTTGGGTTTACTGTACTGAACTTAGAACCCTGGCAAAAAAATAGAATTTTAGCTGTTTCTGAGGGATGATAATAACCTAAAGTTAAAAACTATTTCTAAGTACCCCTAAGTTTAGGGCTCAGGAATGAGGCGTTCTGACTCTACGAGCGTGGCGCTTCTAGGAATTGGGTTTCGGATGCTTCGGCTTCTGCATCCATGGGGTAGCACAACCCTACCCTGCGTTGATAATGTCCTCTTTGCTCTGGAAAGCTTCCGAACCCATTCTGAGCCCCTACTTGCCTTAAAGAGCATGCATATGCATGCCACCAAGCAAAAGAAAGCAACGATGCCTGAGCTGTGCTAAAGAGTTCAACACATGGGCTGCTTCAACACCAGCTAACAAACACATCTTCTCTATTGTCGATGCACGGCTACACGATGCCATGTGTGCACAGACATGGACGGTGTGCATGTACGTGTAAATTTATTTGTTATATGTAAGCACCATGTATGTACGCATGTCTGCATGTATGCAGAGACAAAGAACGCATGTCTTCTGTGAGAGCTTTGCAGGATGCCCGATACGAAGCCGACCAAAGCAATAACATGGGTCCAGGGAAAACCTAACAGGAACGTCACCGACAACCCTCAACGGAAAATCCTTTTGAGGAGAAACAGCTACCACGACAGGAAGCGTGAACATACAAGAGCTTGCGCAACATGAGCTGCACCGCGAACTGAAAGAACCAAATCGAAAGCAATTGGAACGAATGCAAGCAGATCGATTGCCACTACCAAAGATGAACTTGTTGTTTAGCCCTACGTCCCGAAAGCCGAAACCTGCAACACACGCACACACACAGACACAAACACAAGCCAGTAACCCCTGAAGCCTTAGAATGAGAGTCCGATCCGCAAGCTGTTCCCAGAGACTCCACAAACCCTTTAATTCGGGAACATCCCTTAAATGTGTTAGAGTTTAGTTTAGGCGTTTAGGGTTTACGGCTTAGGATTGCACGCCTGTTGGAACTATAATGACGCTGAATTCAGGGATTGAAACAATCCCGAAACCCCCGGGACAAATCCTTTATTTATAGACCTCTGACAGATTTGTAAACAAGACCTGAACCGTAAATTGTCAAGCCTGAACCCCCAATAGCACAACCATCGCAACAGCAAAACAAGAGCAGCCGTACAGTTTGAAGCCACGGCTCGATCCACCAGCGGGCAGTTGCGCTCGTGAAGACGCGCCATCGAGACGAAGAAGGCGATGGTGATCATGCCGTAAAAGTTGATCTTGTTAACCTCAGGATGATACATGATGGCACTGGCAATATTAACAGAGCAACCGATCCCGGCTATGCTGAACAGTACTATATTCAAGGTGGTACGTATTAATGCTAAAGCAAGTACTAACTGTAAGTGACTGGAATTGGACCATCTTCATTCGTAACAGTAAAACTTAGGGTGCAAGTTGTTATAGCTCCTTTTGATGTCTGAGAACCCTAAACCCTAAACCCTAAACCTCACCTAACTAAACCCTTATAAGGCTGAGAGTCGAGCTCAGGGCTGAGGCTTTAACAGTTCAGCTTTCGGGACTTCGGGATTCGGCTAAACGAGTGAACCCAGACCTTCCAAGATCCCTTAATTAAGGAATGTACCTTAAATCATAATAGGATCCCTAGTATGATTTAAGGTATATTCCTTAATTAAGGGATCTTGGAAGGTCTGGGAAGCTTACTTTCGAGCGTACTTAGATAAGAAAGGAAAGCAGGGAACTTAACGGAAGGAACGCTTCGCTTCGGGTCTCGATGGGCCCACCTGGACCGGAAAAAACCTGACGTCTTAGGGCTCCTTCTTATGATTTCTCTATATAAGTCCTTAAGGAGGTATCTAGCCTATCTGGGGTGAAGGTAGGCCGTGGATGATGGCTTTGGGCATCAAGTAGCTGGGTGAGATTCGAGGTCTGGTGAACAGTCAATCGAGCGGATTTAGAGTTCGGGATGAGGCTAGATCGTGCTCAAACTCTCTCCCCTCCAGTCTTACTTCCGCCTACGATGTCTTATCCCCGGCTTCGCGGGCAACCCGGAATCTGAATTCCCCAACCAAGAAAGACTTCGGACGCATCAAGCAGCCCTAAATCCGAACCGGTGTGCCCTAGACCCTACACCCCAAGCTCTAAAGGCCTGAAGCCTAAACCCTAAAACCCTAAACCTCAAAACCTCAAACCACTCATCCTGCCAGTGATAGCCCTCATACCACCACTCCAAGCAGTGTCGGGCCGCCATCTTCTGTGCCACCGTCTTGCCTTTCCCGTCCTGGGAGGGTTTAGGGCACAGTGAAGTTTAGTGGTTTAGGGCTTTAGGGTTTTTAATTTTAGGGGTTTGAGGGTTTAGGGTGCATACAGAAAGAAAGCAGAACTTGCGGAAAAGTTTGCATCTAGTTCCATATGCGCTGGCTCGCCATTGGCCATCTGCGCTATTGATGCGCAAGGCATCTTTACCACCGGGACGGATAGATAGATAGATAGATAGATAGATATATCGAGATATCGATAGATCAGAAGGCTGATGGGTAGGTACATAGAGAGGTAGATATATAGGTAAGGGCAGTAATATAGCAAGGTCAAGATCATACATGGCCATAGTGTTGTATGTTGGCTTTTTGAACGATGACCACTCTGTTACAAATCCAATCTGGCATAATGCTCAACATGTATCATGTATGCAGGCGAGCATCCAAATAGAAAGAAAATGCATGACCACAAAGGTTCAGCAGCATGAAGGTCATGGAGACCAAAAAGTATTCCTGACAGGCCGGGGCACACCCATACACAGGTCTTCATCATTAGAAGAGGGGTTATTTGTGTTGCCAACATGGTAGAAGGACTACAAGGGGATACCTTACTATTACTGTTTGCTTTATGCTTCCACGCTCGCGGTTTGGGGTTTCGGGTCTGAGAGGCGCGGTCAGCGACTTTCAATGATCTTGTTCAAACTCCACTACCTGTTGCTACTAATATACCTGTGGCTCAAAAGAGTTACCTTTTTTAAGGAACTATAATAGCTTAATAAGGACATCTAAGAAGGTTTTTAAGGAACTATAATAAGAACATCTACGAAGGTAGGTCTTTTCGGCTACAGGTGCTGTTAAATAGAAGTCGGGATTGCAAAAGGGAAAAGCCCGGCGTCTGCGAGTTCGTGTCGGAAGGCTCCTGAAGATTCAGAGCGCAACCCCAAAGGCTCCATGTACCGATATGATAGGGTTCCTGTAAGGGTTCTACAAAGGGTAGCATAAGGGTGTAGGCTTTAGGGTGAAAGGCTCCATATATCTTGAGATTAGATACTTAGGCCGTAAAGGGGTCCCTAATGTAGGTACTGTAAGGGTTCTATAGGGTTGAGGGCATTGAGGATCCATGGTACCGATATAGTAGGTACTTGGGCCTTAAAGGGGTCCCCGTATAGGCACGTCAAGGCCTAAGTATATACTGTGTGGGTACATGGAGCCTGAGGGAACAATTCCTTAAGGCCGAAACCCCAACGATCAATCCCTGTGTGAACCACAACTCAGCAATTCGCAAAGCATCGTCAATCAGACTACTACATTACTTTACAGTTTGTCTTTAAACACACAAAAACTATAACGCTAAACCCTGAACCCCAAAACCCTAAACCCACAACCCCAAAACCCTAAACCCTTCAAACCCTACACTAAACCGAAACCCTTAACCCTAAACCCCCCAAACCCCAAAATACCCAAAACCCTGAACCCCCCAAACCCTAAACCCAAAACCCCCAAAACCCCAAACCTTGAACCGCTGTCCTCTAGCCAGCTGGTGTTTCCAGACACCGGCAGCTTGTCCATCACCGAGTTCCGAAGAGAAGTGAGGGATACCCTCGGTTAGGGTTTCTACGTTCAGGGTTAAGGGTTCCTTTGAAGGGTACTATAGGGGTTCCTTTAAAATTAAAGGGATCCATAGGATTTAATTAGGGGTTTAGGGTTCAGGGGTTAGGAGTTTAGGGTTATACGTTTCTGCACTGTAATTGATGGGGTCAGCCCGACACTGGTTTCTTTGAGGGTTCTTCCAATTAAAACCGCTATGGGCCTAAGTACGAGTTCAATACGAACTAACCACAAAGACTATATACGAAAGCAACACCTACTTCAGAGATGTGAAGCCCCACACTCTCACCAACCGTCCGTCCTGGCGAAAACTGAGCAACTAAGTATGCATAACTAACCTACATGCAAGATCCTCAGCGCTGAAGAAAAAAGCTCGGAACACTGACTCCCAACGCCCCAGCCCCGAAACGAGTTTGGGCAAAAGAAAAGCACAGGGACAGCGCCAGCATCGTGGTGGCCACCCGGGGCATCGACATCTTCACACCTAGGGGAGTTCCGGCCGCGGCTGACGATCGTAGAGCCCCTTCGACGAACAAACTAAAATGTTTGGATACCGTCCCCTCACAGCGTGTATACCCTCGCCTCGAGTTGGAGTTTGGGCTTTCGGCATAGTTGTCAAGACCTGATGTTTCGAGGCAACTCGTCTGGAATGAACCTTGTACCCTGAAGCCTAAATAAGCTCTGCCAGCCCTAAACCAGAAGGGCAGCAAAGACAGTTGCGGAAGTGAGCGTGAAAGCCAGGGTTCACGCCGCGAGCAAACAAACAAACAAGCAAACACACAAACAAACAAGCAAACAAACAAGCAAGCAAGCAAGCACACAAACAAGCACACAAACAAACACACAAACAAACAAACACACAAACAAACAAACAAACAAACAAACAAACAAACAAACAAACAAACAAACAAACAAGCAAGTAGGCAAGCACGCAAGCAAACAAACAAACAAACAGACAAAACACACACACAAACACACACGCATGCACACACTCACTCACTCACTCACTCACTCACTCACTCACCCTCGCACGCACACACTCACTCACTGACACACACACACACACACACACAAACAAAAAACAAACGCGCGCGTGCATGCACACACACCCAAACCTGGCACTGCAATATATTCAGAACTGATTGTGGATTCAGAGAAACCAGCTTTGGCTCAACCCACAGGCCTTAAGCTCTGAGCCCTGTGTGCTTGAAACCTGATGCGGCATTTTGTCTCAGAATGTAATGAACAGGAAACACCCCCCAATGCAACTCTTCTTTAACGATTCAGTTGGTTCTGGACCCTAATCCCTCAACCCTAAACCGCTTAAACCAAAAACACCCTAAATCCTCTAAACACCCTAAACCCTAAACCAGTTCTGGTTCTACGACAAGAAGCGCTCGTCTGAACCCCCAAACCGAACCCGAGACGAAAGCCACAACAGCCTTGCATTGCACAGAACCCAGGGTTTAGGGTTTATCTAAGGATAGAAGTATCATAAGAGTCTATATAGGGTATATGGTAGGTATTTAGGGATCCCAAGGTTAAGGGCCCATCCTAGGGGCGCATGGTTTCAACCGTTGGGTTTAGGAATCCCGCAAAACAGCCAAGCCTGGCTCACCAAACCATAGAGAAGGCACTCGTTACTAGTTCAGATCTTAACCCTGGCACTCCGAATAGGCCCCGAGCAGGTACTGTGTATTGACTTTAACCCCCAAACTATGTACTATACCGTGAACCCCAACCTTTATCCCTCAAACACGAATGCAGCGGACCTAACAAGTAGAATGGGGTTTTGCGGGGCATATGATACTACAGCCACAGTGAGGAACCTGACTAAAAAATAAGGGTTTAGGAATGTTTAGGGCTAGGGAGTACACAGACGTAATGGCCAAACTGCCCAACCCTACGAAGCCGCATGCAATTACAAACTCTGAAAGGATCCTTTGCCTTAGTCTCTGCATTGAACGCCCAGCACTTAAGCCGTAGAGCCATCAACCTAAAGCTCCCAAGCCTTATCTAACCAGTGGTTTGGGGGCTCCCTTGGCTCTTTAGCTCCTTCTTTAATAGGGATTAGCAACATCCCTGGCTCCTTAGCTCCTCCAATATCAATGGTTAGTTATATAATACTTAAAAGTGCACAGCCGAAGCCAGGCAACTCAGAGCGAAGGACAGAAATCCCATGGCACTGAAGATAAAAGAGGGCCAGATGTGTCCTCGGGTCTGCTGATGTGGGGTTTAGGGTTTCGGGTTTAGGGACGCGTTCCGGGGGGGGCGGGGGTGGGGGTTTAGGCTGAAGGGTTTGCTTTTGGCTTGTGTGTGTGTGAACTCAAGAAATTACTCAGCACGGTCCGGGCGAGACATGCGGTTGATGATATAAATGCTGCACTGCCTTAAGCCTTAAGGACCCTAAACTATGGGAATTATGGCATATTCCTTGTTATGGGTAATGCAGGATTTATATCATCAACCGTATGCAAGGGTCCATACCAAAAGAGGTCTGCGGAGAGCTGAGTTCGACTGAGTAGCCCGTGCATATGGATTACCCATAGGCCACAAAGTAGTTCCTTTTTGGGGTTCATATATGGGTGGTTGTCAACATTATGGTCCCTTTTGGGGTACCCTAAATAATAGGTGCCGTATTATGTTAGGGACCCAAAAAGGGACCACAATATTGACAACCACCCATATAGAATCTTATAAGGTAATCCCAAAAAGGAGCTACTTTGGGGCCTCCGGGTAGGGCTGACATCAGGACCTCGGTTTTGCGGCCTCGTGCTGCACATTCATAATGACTCTTTTTGAGGTATGCACATCATCACGTTGGGATGATACGGCAGTTTCAGAAAAAGGGTGTCCCAGAGGGGGACACCCAACTGCAAATAATGACGTGCAGCGCCCATAAACGGACAAAGCCCAGAACATGACTCCGCAAGAGTTGTGTGGTTTTGGTGCCTTGCCTCCCTGATGGCTTTCAGAAGTTTAGGGCCAAGGGCTTAGGGTCTGAAAGATGAAGCTGATTTGGGCTTTTGTCAGTCTTACGCGGAAGACCATGTGGCTCCTGTCGGGTTAACGTTACGAGGCCGGCCTGGTCCCCTATTCTTGGGAGGGGCAGCAAGGACCCTGATGCAGAACAGCGTACTGTCAGCATCGCCCCCCACCTCCCTCCCCAATCCCTAAACCGTGCACTCCAATCGCATCGTCTCATTGTTAGGTCTCCGAATACCAGCTGCAGCCCAAGGACCCTTGAAGATACTTTCCCACTGCCTGCGTCGTGCCCGCAAGAAGACGGACACCAACTAGAGTCACTGGAGAGAACTGAACAAGCAGTACGAATAACTCCTCATAATCGTTGCGCGGTTCCATTGGTCTGAACGACGAACTAGTAAGAAATTGGTTGGGTGGTGTTGTACTATAGTCATTGCAATCGGAACATAAGGGAATCTTCGCATGAGTACGATGAATTATCCGCCGTGATGCAAGGGTTCAGGGATGAAGCGTCGAGATACCAGATCAATGATCGCGCTACATCAAAGCAGAGTGCTGCCTCACCTCTGTAGTGGGATACAATGACTCGATCAGTTTATAAAGTTGAGCGATCCGCCACCGGAACAGTCGAGTACCGGTGCTGGGTTCGAGATTCCAAGCATAATGCAAACATCCATTGACTGTTCTGTTTGTGTGCGATGCCACAGTGATACATCCACGTCTTTGAATTGTTGCCTAGACCCATGCAAGAGTAACCTAGGAATAAAAAGGGTGCCCTTTTGGGTTTAAAGGAGGTCATAAGGGAACCTAAACCCTAAAAAAGGGAATAAGGGCCTACTCTAGGTCCTAGTTGCCGATCGAATCACTTGGGACCGAACCATGGGGGCACAAAAAGGCCGATAGCCGAAGCAGGACATGGCCAACCAGCCACTGTGAGGTGGAATGCCCACGATAATAGGGATCCTTAGGGGTGTAGGGGAGGGGGGGTAGGGGGCCTTAAGGCCCATAATAAGGACTAATAAGGCCCATTTAAGGAAATATAGTCCCCTACACCCCTCCCCCTTACACCCCTAAGGATCCCCATGACACGACGAAACAGCATACAGCTCGCAACAGAATCATTATGAAGAACCCAGTGTTGAATATTCTATATGGGACCCTTTTACTTCACACCGGAGAAAGCATCATGGAATCGTTTATGCGTACCTCGACGTTCTGCAACTCCCAGCGAAATGCGTGTCCCAGCTTTGGTAGAGGCGCAGGACGTTGCGAAACCAGGAAATTGATCCGGATACAACTGGTTGAAGCTACCCATAGGCCCCAAAGTGGTTCCTTTTTGGGGCTGATATATAGAATCCTATAAGGAAATCCCAAAAAGGAACTACTTTGGGGCCTATGGGTACAATGACACTCCATCTCAATTACAGCCTAGAGCCTGAAACCTGACACAGAACTGTTGATGATAGAAATCCTAGGGTTCCTTTAAAGGGATCTGTATGGGCTCCTTTAAGGGATCTATAGGGTTTTAGGGTTTAGGGTTTAGGATGATGGTATAAATCCTGCATTACCTTCAGGACCCGAAACTATGGGAATTATGGTATATTCCTTGTAATGGGTCATGCAGGATTTATATCATCAACCGGAAGCACTCGAAAACGAACCCCAACGGGCACCAAACACTCCAATTCGGCCTGGGTCTGGACCGTTGAAAGCCAAGAGACTCCCAAAATCCCTGAAATTGGGAGTATACTTTCCATCATCATTAGTAGGGATGCTACTATAATTCAGGGTATATTCCTTAATTACGGGATATTGGAGTCTCTGGGAATAGCTGGTGCTACACTCATCCAATACATTGACGCTAGTTTGAACACTGAACACATCTTATGAACCACCGAAACACGAAGAAGCTAGGTCGAGATTTCGAAAGCCACGAGCAAACTAAGGATAGATTGAACGGACAACCCCTCGAGCAGCACGGAAAAGGTCATAAAGCTCATTCGAGTAGGTCTCTAAATTCAGGTCCCTTTTAGTCCTGTTTGTTTGGTCAGCATGCCGTACTATTTAGGGTTTAGAGGCTTAGGGGGCTTAAAGAAGAGCCCCCACTTCCAGAGAACACGTCATCGAACTGGAGGTTTCGGGTATAGCGGTTTAGGGTTAGGGTATAGGGTTTATGCCTTCCCGGGAACTTCTCCCATCTACTGCAATGACAACTGCAAGGGATGGAACTAACTCGTTGGTTAATTCGCGAGTCTGGCTGTGCTTTGAGCAGCTTGTGTTTTTTGCTTAAGTATTACTTCAGATACGGTTCAAGGAGAGTTGCAGCATGATCCCCTCATCGCTACACAATTTGATACAAACTTCAACACCATTATATGCATACAACCAGGACCCTCCTTGTACCCTTAAATAGAGGTATATGGCCCCAAATGACGGGCATTTAGGGTCGAATAAAGGGAAGATGGAGGGTCTAGGAATGCTTAATATTTAGGCACATGGACTCTTAGGGAGATAAACGGACGATCACACTGCAAGGGTAAAAGGAGGGACCCTAAACAAGGACCCCCAGGTGTATACCCTTAATAGAGCTATTATATACCCATTATATAGCCCATTATAGGGTAGGGGTCCCCACCAAGGGTCCCTCCTCTTCCCCTTTGACACACAGGAAGGGCTGACAGTAATCTCAGCCCTGACTGCCGGCATGCGCCTGGTGCCCACAATGCTGCACATGATGACCTGCTGACCTAGGTGTCGATTTCACTGCAGCAGTGCTATCTACATATATATATATATATACATATGTAGTTAGAAATCTTAAAAGAAAAGAAATTATATAACAGAAAATGCCTAATCCTAGACCCTAAACCCCTAACCCGAATCATGCCAAATCGATACCTGGTGACTTATACGCTCACAGCTGAAGTTGCCCCAGTCGAAACCGACATAGGATCCTCCCGGGTGCAGATTCGAGATTAGGGTTTCGGGTTTAGGGCTTAGGGATTAGGGTTTAGGGTTTAGGGATTAGGGATTAGGGTTTAGGGCTTAGGGTTTAGGGATTAGGGTGTAGGGATTAGGGTTTAGGGTTTAGGGATTAGGGATTGGGGTTTAGGAGTCTTGGGATTTGGGTTTACAGGCTCTAGGGTTCAGGGGTTTCGGGGTATAAGGCTTAAGGGTTTAGGTTGACGGCCTAAACCCTAAACCCGAAACCCCTAAACCCTAGCTCTTAAACCCTAAACCCTAAAGTTCGGGAGGGTTTAGGGGCTTGGGGTTTACAGGTTTAAAATATGAGAGCTTAGGGCTTAGGCGCTAGGGTTAGGATGGCTTTAGAGGGTCATGGATCCAGGGACTCAGGGTGTTCCTTCTGCTCAACCAGAGGGCATCTTGACAGGTACTAGCAGAATGGTTCTATGATGGGGTACTTCAAAGGGTTTAGGGTGCAGGGCAGAAGTGGGGCATCTATGTAGCACGTACTTTGCCCCTAACAGGGCTCCTGTA